TACGTATGTAGGTACAATAATAAAATAATATAAAAGAGTTGTACTTGGTACTAAGGATATGTAAATATGGTGTTTTTTCTATTGCAAACACTATATATTTTTTATTGTATCAGGGTGTAAAAATGTTGTATGTATGTATGTGCACCAGCACTTAAGTAAAAGTGCTCAAAAGCCGAGAAGTTTTCAATGATGAGTCTTAAGAGCAAAATAAACCATACTAGCGGCTTGTCAAACCAAGCGAAATTAACCTTGCTCCAAGTCATTTGAGGGTAGTTCGAATAAGACGAAAAATATTTTGATTTTCTGGCCGCCATGTTGAAGTTTCATTCGCAAATGGCGATGGCAGCGATTAATCATTTGATTAAATTAATCGATTATTTTTCTTCAATTTATGATTTAATTATATCGTAGTTTTGTGTTTCATTAATCGATTATTAATCGACTAATTGTAAAATAATCGTAAAAATATTTTCAAGAAATATGAATTCTGTAGTTTCCTAAAATCCATCCATCGAACATTCTTTTCGCTAGCTGCATCAACTTTACTCGACCCGACGTTCAAAAAAAATTTATTTAAAACACCCATTAGAATTGGCCTCAGAAATTAAGTTCTTGCGAAATGAAATAATGTTCGCAGATGATCATATGGAAACGGGTGTCACAAGAATCAATACAAAATGACTTCATCCAGAGCATATCAAACAGGTAGTAGCATTCGAGCAAAAGGCAACATTTTCGTGTATTTTGTTATTGCTTCTGGTATCGAAAGAGTAAAAAACTGTTCTAATTTTTTTTTCTAAATCAAACAATTTAGAATTTTTGTGAGAAGAAATTTCAAAATATTTGACATTTTCGAGACCAAATAATTAAAAAAAAAAATCAAATCAGCTGATCTACTGATACTAGCTGTTCAATGTGCCTCGAGTTCATCTTTGGGCCCCTCTTGGACACAATCGAGGGCGAAAAGATGATGATTTGGGTCACCCAAAAGATGAAACGACCTTTTATTTAAATTGTAAAGTTCTAGAACTAAAGCGGAATATCATCGACGTTTAGGTGCCTGCTGAGCGCTTTTTTTCAAAAGCTACACTGCTACACTGAGTGAAAAAAGTAAACAAAAAAACGTATTTTATCTTACTAAAAGCGTCAATAAAGGTACCGTATAGTTACGGTGACCATTCGTACCCGTTTTGACGGGACAATACCGATTTTTAGAAAATTGTTGCGCTGAATATTTTTAAAAGTCGGGACGTATAAGTGTCTCGATTTTTCATACATATTTGTACCGCTAAATCCCGATTTTCAGTGTTACCTGTACTTTGGCCCAAAAACAATTTTTCGTACAAACGTGGCAGCACCTTTCCTATCACAACCAATAGCCGTGTTTTATTTGTCCAGAAATTTTAGCTATGAGACTTATCCAACGTAATTATATTGGCTTATGAAAAGCTATCTTGGCTTGTATATTAGAGCTGTAAAACTATCGATAGTCATCCCATTCGATGTTTTCGATAGTTTGCATTGAAACTATCGATGCTATCGATAGTATCGGATAATTTTAAAATGCAAAGAAAAATTTTAAATTTCCGAATATACAGTGCTATCTGGGTCGAGTGAACTAATTAATGCAAGACCAG